TTACTTACTTACTTACTTACTTACTTACACAACGGAGATGTCTAACTCTATGCTTAGCTCGTGGAACTGGTTCTCCTGTTTGCGTATCATGTAGTTCGAATCCAATCATACGCAACCTAAGAATTCTTTTTTATTATTTGGTAGGCTGGCTGGACCCAAGCCGTGGGAATGACAAGACTTGGGAATGGCAACTGCAGCAATATATATATATATATATATATTTAAAGAAGCTAATATTAGATTTTTTTCTTAAATACCTAAAAATTTTTTTATTTATTTATTTTAAATGAATTTCATCCATTTTTTTATATGAATTTGGAATGAAGAAGGTGAAAGATCATAAGACGAAATCTAGAAGAGAAAAATTGAAAGTAGGAAATAAGGACACAGAAGACTAAAATGTGGGAATAAGGAAAGATTTTCTGTTCTTTTTTTTTATTTGAAATGAGGAAGTTGGAAGGACATAAGGCGGAAGACGGAAGGCTAAAACCTAGAAGTCGGAATGACATAATAAATGCATATTTTATTTTTTAATTTTTTAAAATAAAATTGCTTTTGATGCTATGACTCATCTTAAGTCTATAAATAGAGGCAATGGAAGAGGAGAAGAATCACAAGTGAGGAGGAGAAGGAGGTGAAGAGAGAGAGAGAGAGAGAGAGAGAGAGAGAGATTGAGTCTTTTGGTAGCGAGATTTTTCAAAAGAAGAAAGTAGTCCACATCATACGCAACAGACGAGCAATGAGATTTTCTTTCGTGTTGTGGCCAAGAAGCAAGTCATCCCCTTTTTACTTAGCTGACAAATAATGGAATCTTTTTTATGTTACGACCAAGAGGAAAGTCATCCCCGTTCTACGTAGTAGACGAACAACAAGATCTTTTTTTATGTTGCGGTCAAGAGGAAAGCCATCTCTGTCATGCGCAGCAGGCTAGCAACGGATCTTTTTTTGTGTTGCAGTGAAGAGGAAAGTTGTCCCTATCTTGCATAGCAAACGAGCAATGAGATTTTCTTTCCTGTTGTGACTTAGAGAGAAGTCATCCCCGTCCTGCGTAGTAGGCATGCATTGAGATTCTTTTAATGTTGCAGCGAAGAGGAAAGTCATTTCCATCTTGTATAACAGGCGAACAACGAGATATTCTTTTGTATTGCAATCAAGAGGAAAGTCATACTTGTCTTGTGTAGCAAGCAAGCAACGAGATCTTCTTTTGTGTTTCAATGAAGAGGAAAGTCGTCCCTGTCTTGCGTAGTAGAAGCTTAACAGGATTTTCTTTCGCCTTACAGTATAGACGCAAGTCGTCCCCATCTTGCATAGCAGGGGAGTAACATGATCTTCTTTTACGTTGCAGTGCAGAAGAATGTTGTCCCTGTCTTGCGATCAAACAATCAATGGGTTTTTCTTTCATGCTGATGTCGCGCATTCCTGAGGAGATTCTCGTGTTGCTCTTCCACATTCTGGAGGTAATTAAAAAATATTGTAGTTTTCCCACTGCACTTTGAGGGGATGATTTTTTATGCTTCTGTGGTGGCGATATCTAGAGAATATCATCCTCCTGAAGATCAACAAAAGCACCAAAATTCTAAAAAGGCATCCACAACCATTTGAGTATGAGTCGTCCTCTTGTATCCTTTGCACTAATTCTTGTTGATCTTTATGAAATTTTCAATCATCTGATATGACATTTGTAGATGATGAGAATGTATTTCATGATTGCTTAGAGGTTGTTGTGGCTTCTTAATCATGCAAAATTTTGCAATTAAAATTAGTACACACACTTTGTGAAATAGAGAATTGCGTACCTTTTGAGACTCGTGCCTTTGAAAGTTGTGCCCTCTCAGGCTTATGCCTTATAGGAGCATAAAATGAACTGATGTCTTCTTAGGTTTGTAGCATTCTTTATGTACCTGTGCCTTTTGAGGCTTGTAGCCTTCTGAGGTCTTTGAGTAGAGAGTTTGTCAATCACTTGCTCTCGTGAACTATTTCTAGTGAGAACCCTGTCCAGTACTAGTATTCTATCGAAACTTGCCTTTTGGGCTTGTCTT